TGGTAAAGGGGAATAATTTCCCTAACGTGAAGTAAATAACACTCATTCTTCTATTTTTCAGCGTAAAATAGAACAGCATTTACTTCATTATAAGCAATTTAAACGGATTATACATTCCTTTTTCGATTATTATTATAAAATAACACAACATTTTCGGGCATTTTACCGTATTCAAGAGCACTATTATTATTTTAAAATTGTTAAAGTAAAAGCATTTTAATTAAATAAAATATCTCTCGTATTTTTCTCTCTTTCTCTTCCTCTTTTTCTCTATAGAAAATTCATAGCTTTATGAATACTTGTTTAATGTAAAATAATTAATTCTAAGATAAAGCGGTCTATTGTATGCAAAATGGTATACAAATTTGGATGCTTCTCAATCTATATTAACTAACTCGGCATATAAATAATTAATAAATAATTAATACGATCGTTCTAATACACAGCCGATAAACCATAGAGAATTACTCTCGACCAAAATTCTCGTTTAATGTTTCCGAGATACTACATGTGATTTGAAAGATATTTTAATGTTACATTAGCTTTGCCAATTTGATTATTTCGATTTCTACAAATGTATATTATGCATTTAATTTCCCTTGGTAGCGGATATTTGTAATATTGTAAATATCATCTCGTATTTTCCGTTAATATTCAGAAAGGATTAAACACGCATAATAAATTCAAAAGAATAGAATTTTTTCTTTTTAAAGAACACAGACAATTTTTTTCATTATTAATGCTAAAGGAAGAAGATCTGTATCAGGTTTCCATGTTGAAAGCGAAAAATTATTAAGCTATATGAGTCTCGTTGAGAGCATTAAAGAACGTCGTGTACATGCGGCGCACGAGAGTAGAATAATTTATGTTAGGTATGTATATGGAAAGCATCGAGATTATAGAATAGTAGAATTTTTGTCATCGGTAAATAATATATCCATTTCGATATTCATAAACGATCATGTTTGAAGCGGACAAATTGCAACGTTTCGTATTGAATTCCGTAAACTGCATCAAACTGTAAGAATTGCATAAACGCATTAAATTGCAAGAATTGTATAAACGTAATCGTGGGCTACTAAAATCGTGCATACTAAAATAAAATATTCTATTGAATTATTTAACAATATAACGCCGATATTTATTCGCATTATTCTCGCGATAAAAATATTCTGCATGTAATACACATTTATCGCGAGCAATTTTACGATTCGCCCATTAATTACAGTCAAACATACTTAATGAATAGACGTCCGGATAGTCTTTCTATCGCGATTGAATTGTTTTGTAATTAATTAACTAAATACAGGAACGCTCCGGGGCACAGATAATGATAACAAGTACAACTTGCATACATATAATTTGCATACATATTTCCGAGATACGCAAGATTATTCCGAGACGCAATAGTATAACCCAGTTGTTCACGGGCGGTCAATGATTTCTCGATTAAACGGGAAAATGGAAGGGAAGCGATTGAATTAGTCTTAGAAAATATTTATTGCATCGGCTTGGAACGGACAATACGCGTTACAATGGCACTTTTGTCCGGTAATAGGGAGATTCAAATGATGTTGACTTACGGTATTCTCCAATGAATCGTATATTTCCATAAAATATTTTGTAACGCGCAAGACGGAGAAATTCAACGTTCACTGGTGTAACGTAAGAGTCTCTCTCTCTCTCTAAAGACGCCAAGATTTCTGCGAAATACATTTCGCGTATTGATTTATTTTATAAAATACGCACGTATATATTCCTTGTAGAAATTTAATACTGTACGGAAGGCAGTGATTAATTATTATATTTTCAATAGCACTGGTGCTTTTAATTCCTCGAAATAAGTAATTTCCAATATTATATTGGCCAGTATTAAATTGGATTTCTATGCGGGATGTGTGCGATGCGCGATGTGTATGCAAATAATTTAATTGTTATTAACATTTTGCACATTTGCACACAGGTTCGTGCGCTTAACAGCGCGGTGGAGCGGCCCCAATGCCGGTCAGGAAGGGCCTTCTCGCTCCACAGAATACTTTCTTGGACACTATCGCAACTCGCTTCGATGGAACCCGTAAGTCTTTTGTGTGTGTTTGTGTGTTGTGTCTGATAACTTGTATCTTTGTAGTCACTTATATCTTCGACGTAGCAGATATCGTCATCGCTTGTAAGCGACTCAAGTTGCGGAAAGATTTATTCACGGCGAAAAACTGTCAGACATCGAATTTTTCCCGCTTCTATTAAATTTATAAATTAATGCGTTACCTGTAAATGTCGAACGATTCAGATTGTAATCTTCCTACCTCGCAGGAAAACTTGTTTTTGCGAAACTTTCTTTTTTTTTTAAGAGGTAAAAAGCGGTATACGAAAGCATCGCGGGGACGCCAAAGTCGTCGCTTCTTTCGATTAACTTTCATCCCTACACGCGAGGGTTGCGCTTCACCCAAGTCCCTTTTCTTTGAGACGCGAAAAAAGAGACGGTGCGATTCCAGAATGTTTTACGTTGACTTTCGCATTTGCTGGGTTGCGTATTCGCATCATGACGCGTAGGCACGTAAACGTAATAAAAAAAAAAAAAAAAAGAAAATGGTTAATACAAGAAACATAAATTGTTGATACGTTGACATTTTTCTCTCGTTCGTGCTATAAGCGGGGCGCGCTTTCGGTTAAATCGATTCGGTTTTGTATTTCGTCGAGGTTTATCGTTTACACCAACCGGGCCTATAATGCTAATGTCCCGATATCACACGGCTTTCCCCTAATGCCTCGATGCGTACATCGGCATTAACTGCGGAGACATTAACGAAGCGCGTAGGATGTCGGTGTCGATGAGCCAGCTGGTGGTAGCATCATGATTATAATTCCGCGTTGGACGCATAAATCTTCAAGTAGGGCAAAAGCGTCAAAATGTCTTTTTTCATTAATTAAACAGTCAGGATTCTATATTTAGAACTCAATATTTAAAGAAAGAAAAAAAATTTATACTGCAAAACGTGACTCTTTTCTTGAATTACATCCGCGATATCGTGGCTGCAGCGACGTTGCTTGATTTAGGAAAATCACGGGGGTGTAATTTCGTCGAGATTATTCCGATCCGCATACTGATATAATATTAGCATTCCTGCACGCGGTTAGCTATCCAAGTCCCGTTTCAACCACTTGTCCGCAATCACGAATCTTCTCCTTATCTCCGTCCCGTTCTATCCTGTGAAGCTACAAGTTAGTTAACGTCCTAACTCTTGTCTGCCAAGTCGCACCAACGTAAACTTCGGTTCCTTCGGGCTAAGGGGAAACTAATTATAAGAAGCGGATCGTCAGCGTCGTCATCTTAAACAGATTACAATTAAAGTTGTATCCTTGATAAATATCGGCATTTTTTTCCCTCGGCAACGATACCGAGAAATTCAGGTACCTTGTGTGCGAGGGGTCGCATATTAATATATTCCATTCTTTGTACGATATAATCGCGCGCATGCGCGCCCCTTGATTAACAATTCCTATTTTGCTAATCTACTCCTCTACTCTTTTTTACGTATTCTCGTGTCCCTTTGTCCCGCAATTTCTCATTTCTCTTCATTTATTCCGATCTCCGGCCGTCGCGGCGCGTTCATTTCTTATTCCTTTGCGACTTCCCCCTTGCGAAACCCCTTCTGAAGTTGAAAACGTCTCGCATTGTGTGTTTCCCATTCGATTGTTGTATCGACGTATCATGGCTGCACGGCGTGCTGTGCGTGCAGCTAAACAACCCCTCGCCGCACGAGAACACCTGATAAAACTTCGCGTCCGTCGACCCTACGTTTCGCCACGTCCGCCGATGAAGCATGTAATATTAATTCAACATCGGCGCCACGCGAATCGATTCGATGTTTTCAAAGTTGTGCATTTCGATCCGATAAATTCGCACGAGGAGGAACATCCTCGGGTACCATCGAAATCCACACGTCGCACTCGGTGCCGTCGATGCATCATGCAACTTGTTGAAATGACTGACTAAAATTAATTTATTCATGACAAATGAAAATTATTAAACGCAATCCGGGCATAATATACATATTAACGTTTGCATGGGAAAAATTGTCTGTACTGAAAACAAAGGAAAATAATAATATATCGATATTATTGCGATTTACACTGCGTTTATTTCAACTGAATACACGTTGTTTACGTATTCAGATGATCTATAAATATGTGTTTATGTTATACACGTATATTTTATTAAACATCTTTCATACATATTATTATTACTATTATTATTATTGCTGCTATTGTCACTATAAAGAAATTTAAAATCATTTAACATTTGCTTATTTAAAGTAATTTAGTTTTTTTTATGGTTCATATATTTGTAATTATGTATAAAAGTAAAACGTTGTGTAATTATAAACTACTATGCAACTATTAAATTGCAGTTGTACATTGTTTCATTGTCAAGAAGTAAACAATTTATACATGTATATATTTTTTGAAAAATATATTCGATACACGTGACAATTTTATTTGTTCCATTCACAGCTTCGATATGTTGTAGTTCAAGCAATAAGCAGCAATAAAATAAAAATTTCTATTCTATTGATTTTTAACATTCAACCAGTGTGTGCGAAAGCATCACGAGAAGA